CTTTACTATATTCTTACTGTTTATTTCTTTTCTATATTTTTTCTTTTCTGCACCTTCTATTTTCTCTTTTTATTCTTTTATTTTTTTAGTATTAATTTTTATAATTGCAAATGTAATTTTTAATAACATTACTATTTTAAAAAAAGACTCTTGAATGCCCCCTGTTCTGGGGACACCCCATGATGATAGTGGCTGCCACTAGAGAGGGACAGCCTTCTGTTGCCGTGCCATTGTGCCAGAAGAACTAATTTCTCAAAGAAAAAAGAGAGGCTACCTCTCATATCTAAGGAAGACGTTATTCAAGTCATCGTTAGCATGAAGCAGCTCCTCCGTGACCTCTTCATTGGAGACCCTGGAGATCAGCTCCACAATCCGTTGCTGCATAGCTCGGCAAGTGCGGTTCAGCTCCTAGGAGAGGAGACAAGGAGATGTCTGAGGGCAAGGAACAGTCTCCATGGCTGGCACCACAAGCAGGGGCCAGAATGTTCACAGCTGGAAGGAGGTCCTGTGGCCTTTTGAGTGCATTTTTGCTTCCAGATCTGGGCAGAGATGTCACTAAGGGAGGCTGCGGCACACATCTGGCCTCTTTCATTTGCTTTGCTTGGCTCCTTCTGCAAAAGGGGCCCAGCCTATCCAGGTGACCCACCTCTGCCCACTGGACATCACTGTTCCGCCAAACAAGAGAAGCCCTTCACCAGCTTCCCCCCCTGTACTTTTCATGAGGGGTGACCTTTAAACAAAGGCTACCCTGAACCTGGATGCCTCCCCTGCCGGAGTGGAAAATCAGGAGAGCAGTGACAGCACACAACCTTTGAGAAGAATAAAGACCCGCACGGGCTTCCTCTGCCGAGACTGACATTCGGAGCATGGCATAAATCTCCACTCAAGGCTCTCCAGCTGCTGCAACAGCTTGAGGACCAGGTTTGCCAATGTCAGTTTTAATCTTGTCAGTTCAGAGCCAGACTGTGACATTTCAGAAGTCTGGACTCAGGTAGTGAAGACGGGCTGACAGAACCAGCTTGCACTGCATCAGGAAATGTCCTCTTACTTAACTGCTTAGTGGCTCTTTTGTTTTGTCTAAGAGGCAAGAGCCAGCCACACGTTTATCTCGCTTTCTTAAATCCAAGTAGCTAAGGGGACGTCCACAGAAGAAGGCAATGACTTGTTCTCGCTCAGGCAGGGCAGAAAATAATGGACTTAAGTTCCAGGAAGACAGATTCTGACTGAATTAGGACAAATTTCCTAACAGTAAGAGACACGTTAGGAGGAGAGCTGCGTTAATCCACAGTGGCCAAAAATCAGAAGGAATGGCTAAAGCTAAAATTTGCACCTGATGAAGTGAGCCATAGTTCACAAAACCTTCTGCCTTTCACTAACATTTGTCAGTTGGAAAAGGTGATTTCTGGCTAACCATAAGGGGAGTTGGGAATGGAAGAGAAGGGGTGGGGTGTCCTTTCATAGATGCGTATAAACAGAGGTTGGAAAACCATTTGTTGTGAATGCTGGAACCTGGATTCTTCACTGAGCAGGACATCGGTCTTCAATAACCGAATGACCCCTTCCAACTCTGTGGCTCCAGATTAAACGGCTTAAAGAGTTTCCCCAAACCGGGAAAGATAAGAGAAAAAAATACAGAAGACCTAAGAAAGTTGCCCTCTCATAGACTCACCTGCAGTAACTCAAGGTCTGATGAATCTTCTTGCCCAGGGATCATTTCTGTGAGCATCTCTGACATCACCTTTGTGTTGCCACGAACAACGTCCAATTCGCTGCGTAATCGTGCGATCTGGGAGGGGGGAGGATGAAAGGGCTTTTGATTTTAAAAGACAGCAAACTTCTCCTGAAGGAATGCGTGTGCCACAGCTGCCCCCCACGCTCGCACCTGCTCCTCCAGAGCTCTGCTCGCGCAATACCTGTTCTGTATTTGCTTTGATGGGGCCGGCCACATTCAGAGCGGGGGCCTGAGAACCCGGGAAAGTTGTAGGGGAGGTAGAGGAATAGGAGCTGGAGCTCATCTTTTGCTGAGACTGGGACTTGTGCATGTTGGCAGCCGGGTCAATTTCAGGAACACTCTAGCAAAGGAAATGGCAGTTGTTCAGAGAGGGACCCAGCCCACATTTAAATAAGCAGAGGGGAATCAGGGGAGATTCTGCCTGCAACAGTTACCTAAATGGTCTGGAGGCCCAAAGAGGGTAGAGTGCTATTGTTCAGCTTCCCATCCAAACAGCTAGTCCCTTGCCCTGGGAGATGGGATGCTAAAAGATCCTGCAAGGTTGTTCTGCTGCTCTTAAAGACAGATGCCTTTTCCAGCTCAATGAATAGTCTGTGGTTCATGATCATTTAACCCCCTCTCTTCCAGAAAGCTCCAGGGAATTCTTGTGGAGTTCCCATTCTGCTACGACATGGCCTTCTCCACTGCATGAAACATCAACCCAACAGGATCAGACCAAAGGCCAGTGGATCAACAGATACCGATGGGGTGACTGCAGCCTCCTCCTTTTCGCTGTCTGCCCACAACTGATGTTCTGTGGCACATGACCTCTGACTATGGCAAATCCCTGAGCTACTGTGGACTACCACAGTTCAGAGCAAGCTGCTCCCCAGCATCTTCTAAATCAGGGTTTCCCAAACTTGGCTACTTCCAGGTGGGTGGATTTCAGTTCCCAGAATTCCTCAGCCAGCATGACCATCGCTAAGAAATCTGGGCATATGCACCTCAGGAAATTGTCCAGGTTAGGAAGCACATCCTTTTCAAAAATATCTCAACCGGTGGTCATAGAGAAAATCTGAACTACCAATACCGCAATATAGCTTCACTTTCTCTTTTTTGCCTATTGTTGACTTAAAGATTAATAATTTAATTGTACAACATGACATGAATATATATGTAAAATTAGTTCTATAAGATGACTGTTGTATGTTTTTATGCGGGTTTTGATCTTGTTTCCTCTTTTTCCTTCCCAAAATAAAACAAAAATAGAATGGAATGGAGTGAATAAAATAACATACGACTAAAAAGAATACAGCTTTTAAAAGCTTTCTCTCTTATAATATGTAGTTCAGAGTCTACACAGTCTCGGGTAGGACCTTTTACTTTCAGTTCTGGTATACTTACTCTCTGTGGAGTGTGTATTGGCGACAGAGCATCCAGATCAGCCATGGGGAACTCTACCCCTTTCCTCTTCAGCTCTTCATAAATGTGCACAACCCCTGTAAGGTCAGGACTACTTCGAAAAGCATCAGCCCAAGCCTGGGGGGGGGAAAAACCCAGGGAGGATTGTTATGCTGTTTCTACACAACTCACGTTTCTTTCATTGGGGTATCTGGACTCTTGATTGGCTTTTCTTGGGTTCATTACAACTGTGCCAACCTGAGGGATCATGAAGCCCCTGCAACCTGAGGAGCGGGCCTCACCAGAGACCCTCCTGAAATTACTAATCAATAATAATATTTAGTGTGATGGAAAGAAAAGCTATGAAACAGACTAGGAACAGTCATTCATCCTGACCCTGTTACTTTTTGGCCTGTAGACCCTTATGTGCCATTCAAGAGCCAAAGGTGGACTTCAGACCCTCAAACATTGCGCAAGGGAACCAGGATGCTGCCCAAGAATCTTGAGAGTAGCAGTTCCAGAGATCTTTTGGCTATGCAGGAAGGCCAGCTACCAATTCTGTAACCAGGGTGATTGGCCAATCTGAAGTCCTCCAGGTGGGTTGAATGTCAACTCCCATAATCCCTAGCCAGTTCAGCCATTCACTGGAAATCATGAGAAGGCCGGGATATTCTGCCTAAGCTGTTCTGTTTGGTTCTTTACATCCTCTTTATTCCCGTGGGACTGAAAAAAAGTGAGTGACCTTATACACACAAAGAGAAAATATTATTCATAGAAAATGTATGTTTTGACAATCCAGTGGTAACTTTGATACAGAACTGCAGGGTTTGTGGCATTATATGCTCAGAGAGAGAGAAAGTATAATTAATTAAAGGCATCTTGACATACCTGAATCAGTGCAAGCACTTTATCTTGAACGATCGTGGGAGGATTATTCTTGGGTGAAATGATTTTAACCAGGACACCATCGATGAAATCTCTGTTTGCTACAAGGATATGGAAGCGGTGGCCGCAGTTCTTTACACACGTTTCCAGTACCTTTGTGTGAAAAACACATTTCAGGTGCAGAAGAGAGTCAATGCTCAGCATCCTAAAAAAGAGAGCTGCTTTTTCCAAGGGTCTACTTTGAGAAAGGACAGCGAGCTAAGGGCCGTGTGGTTTAACCAGGGGGACCCGTACATCTCCTTACAACGACCCCCATTCTCCCACTTCTAGTAAGCTGCCCTTCAAACCTTGGAGCGGGACACAGAGGGTCAAATCTCCTCTGGGACATTTCACCCTCTGTGTCTCACTCTGTGTCCTTCTTTTGGGTGCTACGTCCACTTCAAAAATGCAGCGCAAGCATGTCTTGCAATTATACTCAAGCACGACTTAAATGAAATGAGGGAACCCAGATTTACATCCTATGTGAACTTTATTAATAGCAGTTGAAATAAAGGTTGCAAAACACTGGTACACAATATGGTATAGGGAGCTAGAGGAATGAGCCTGGCTTATCAAGTGAACTGAATTCATTAGCAACCCAAGAAATCCCTGATAAGGAAATGTTTATACAAAACTGGTCAGCATTTAAAAACGTTTGGAATAATACATTTTCGGACCACCTCATGTGATTGATGTATTTGTTACAGTTATGAGTGTGCTTTGATGACTCTATTTTTTCATTTACTCTCCATACTTAATGTACTACTGTACTGTTTTAAAAGAAAACTGACAAAAGAAGGGTGGTCCCAAAAACACGCTCTATCCCGCATCTCCTGCTTGGACCTAGAGGGGCAAGTGAAGCTCCTGTAATCTTCTGAGTACTTAAGTTAAGCATAGCAAGGGGAGGACTCCACAGCCTTTCTCAGCTTAGCTTGCAAAGACAGGCCAGACCTTGCTTGGACCCTGCTCTCCTACACAGCTTCATGTGCCTGAGAGCTTAAAAGGTGCAGGAATGACTTGTGCCTGGCTTTAGATGTAGAACTCAGGGAGGGAAAAGGACATTATAGACTGTCTCTTGTATCACACTGCATCCTGGATGGGTAGCAGGAAGATACCAGCTTTGAAGGAGGAGCAGAATGCTGATAAACCACAACCTTTTTCTTGGCCACAAAGCACGTCAAAAACACAGCCCCCGGGAACTGACCCTTTATCTTTTAACTGGGCCGCCAGTAAATTCTGGTGTTGCAAACACCTGCTTGGTACACCTTATTCACTGCTAGGATGGGTTCCAGGGTGACTGACCTGGCCCCCAAGTCTCCAACTCCTTATCAGCTGTACTTACCGTGAGAGCCAGCATTACTTCTCTGTAGTTTTTGTTTCCATTCAGTCTCTTCTTGAGAGCTCTAACAGCATCCTTTGGGCTGATGAGGGAAGGATGAGATGGCAATGAAGGCCTTAGGTGCTTCTCAAAGTACAGAAACACAGCAACCCCAGTTTTAAGCTGTTTATGCACACTTGTTTTGAACCTGGGTGCCAGGAGGCTTCAGTATTTGCTCAATTACAGCAGAGTATCTCAAAGGAGAATGTATTTCCCCAAGGGAACACACAAATAGTTTCAGCAGATAATGCAAAAAAAAAAAAAAAAAGCCAAGCCAGGAGCCAAGTAGATGCTGAAAAGAAGCCAGCAAAAAGATTTTGGTTCTGTGATGCTGGTGCCAAGGCAAGCCTTACCAGTGGGCAGAACAAGGTTGCAGAAGATTGGTCTACAATGCTGCCACGGCATTTAAACACACAGAGCAGCTTTGGACTAAAGTATTATTGAATGCGGCTTCTTCAGGCTTAGAATCAAACGCTGGGAGCTGAGGCCACATAGGAATTTGGCTCCTATAACTTCAAGCCACTGGTCCATTTAGCATCATCTTCCCTGCTTGGCTAGGTTTAAGGCAAGAAAGCACTATCTGCATTTATCAGGTGCTGAACATCAAAACTGCTGGCAGAGCCGATCTTGACAACAAGCAATTACCCTTCCCAGAAAGAGAGGCCCCAAAAATGCATGAAAAGCAATTTTGCCTTCAGCTAGCATGGCGCACACACACATACCCTTCTTCTGTCTCATTGATGATGTCACATATCTCCATGTTCAGCGTCCAGTCTTCGCTCTGTAGGGAGCCATCAGTGGCCTTTTCTGTAAGACAACCGAAAATGCTGCTCGTTTTCTCCAGGGTTTACAGCCAGTCCATTAGGCCAAACTGGTAAGCCTCACCTCCAGCTGGTAAGAATCACTTCATGACGTACAGAACAAGATATTCCACCAAGATTTTCCTCCTCCCAGGCAAATGAGGCACCACAAACTTGTTCAGATTTAAATGAAATATAGTGCCAACAGTGTCACAGTTTGCAAAAAGGGAACAACCCAAAGGGCTTTCAGTTTAGAAAATGACCCATAGAAGATACCAGGAAAAGGAAAAGAATTCAGAAGTAGGAAAGAAAATACTCTGAGACCAAGTTTGGAGTCTGCCGGCCTTCTGCCATATTATGCAGAATTTTATAGAGCTACCTCCTCCAGCCAACAGCACTAATCACCTGTGCTGTCCTTTCATCTTTTTCCTTTTTTGCACAAAAGCCTCTTTAAGGAGAAAAGCCTTTTGACGGGTGCCACTAAGAAACGCCCGGAAAAAATGAGAATCAGACTGCAGCTTAGGATGATGTACAAAAGAAACCTGGAATATAATTTTGCAATGTGGTATGCTCCTTTCTAAGCTTCCAGCCCCAGAACCATCCGTTCTTCTGGGAGATTCCACTCCATTCCCATTTTCCCTCCCTCCTTAGATCACAAATCCTTCTTCCTCAGGATTTTGTGATAGAGCATTTGGTGCCTACCCGAGCAGGCTCAAACCTCAGTTACTGGGGAGGCACTGACGTTTCGTCTCTGCTAAAATTTTTATTATTTTTAAACATGTACTTCATAAATGCTTAGTTGCTTGCCTATTTCCTCATATATTAAGCACCCACACAGCCAAGGCAGCATTCGCTACCAATGGGCAATGAACTGCACCCAGCCCGCCACTCTCTCTAGGCATTACACCTGTCAATTACTGTGTTAGGCTTAAGAACAGTCCTTATTTTTGCAGCTAGTTGTACTATGTATTAATCTTAGTCCTGAGAGATCCAGGAAAGTTCTGGGTTTATCAGCTAAAACTGATCAGGTACCCCTGTGCTATCTTGCAAAATAAAACAGACAAGAACGATCCATAACCCCTTGCTGGGTGGGTGGAGGCACAGTTATAGGCAAAGTCTAGGTCACGTTGTTTAACTTCTTTCAAGCCAAGAACTGAATTTTGAATGACATGCCAAAAAGGAGGAGATTATGCCTTGGACAAAAGCAAAAGATGATTTCATTTCAATTACACTTCATTAAAATATAATTAATATGGTAATGCACTAGTTACGTATTTTCTCTTGTTACATGAAAAATTACTGTTCAGCAACAACTTTTCAAAATCTCTGACTTTTGTAGAGAGATCTCAGGCTGCATATCTCCGATCTAGCTGAAAACTGACAAATTATAACTGGGTGCAATGTACGTTAGTGTGTGTGTGTGTGTGTGTGTGTGTGTGTGTGTGTATAAAATAACCATTCACTTAAGTATTTCATATTAATAAGAGATAAAGGACCCAATACTCAATACTAAGTCAGCCAATCTATTACTTGTTATGTGTTTCTTTTGAAGATTTAATTTTCAGTTCCTGAGGATTTCCTTTTTGCAACATAATCCATTATCATGAAGGGAAGCTGATCTGAAATACGCTTATAGCAGTCTCAAAGCACTTTACAATATGGATGTGTTCTAGCGTGTGCTACGTTATTTGTCTGCAGGAATATTAGACCACCAAACTTCAAACATCAATCACATCCTGGTCTGAGGCCACTCCAGCACATTGTCAAGTTATTCACAGAAGCTAATTTTCATCAAGTAATACAGAGAGCCCTATTTCTATCATATATTACTGGTGAGCTTTTGAGTTTTGTGGTCTGAAGTGGAAAAATAATCACCCCGTCTTCTGTTTCAAGAAAATGGTTACTTGCCATTTAGAGTTACTGCAGTGGAATATGATCTCTGGCTTTTAAAGCCCGCGCACCTCTGGGTACTTTTGCCAACCTCATTTACTCCATCCTCTTAAGTCACTGTCTGGATGCTGTGATGGGTCAGTTGCGGACCAGTAAGTTAAGGTCCGATTCTAGCAAGACAGATTGATTGAACTAAACAATGGTTTATTGAATAAGCCCTAAGTGAAAGGATTGCTGGATGATGTTAAGTCAGAAGCCATGGTTCATGAACCACAATAACTACGTTCACATGATACTCACAGCTGAAACCCAAATAAATTCCATTTGGGCTTAGCTTGATGCGTGAACCAAGCCATTCTCTTGGTCAGCAGACAATCTAATTGGAAACAGTTGTGCACTGTGAGAACTGGAAGAGAATTGGTCTATTTTTTTTTTTATGCTTTAAAGTGCTCACTTTACAGAATTATCGTTTTTATTC